CATAGATCGCGTAAAGACTGGACTAATAGTTATGATAATTATCTCAACGATTGTACTCATCATATGTGCCGTACTTTATGCGGTCATCAAAATAAGACAAATTCGAGGGACCGGTAGGTCTGACACAGAATCGTTTAAAAAATTGTAATGAAATTGCTGTCCATATGTGTAGAGACGCCAACCCATGAGCTCCGAGTTCGCGGCCGCCGTCTAATGCATAGCTCACTGACAGACAAATGGCATAACTTTTGTGTAAAACTCAATGAATGATAAAAGTTTTGATAATTTATTACAAATTCATTATTTTATGTAAATATTATTTATTATACAAAATATTTTCTAAATTAAATCATTTTAAAATACCTTTATTGTAACTGTACAATTCATTATATATATATTAATATTAATTCAATTGTGTATCAGTTGAACCAAGTTTAGTTTTAAAATATTCTTGAAAAAACAGGCCATCAGTTGATTGCTGTGTATTTGCCGATGAAATAAAGTTGTCAATCAAATTGCTTTCGATATAACTCTTATGAATAGACCATAAGTTATATTTGGATAATACTTGAGAGCACTCGGGTCTGTCTGTCCAGTGAGGGCCGGGTTTGTGCGGGTAATCCCAGTTATAATATGCCATGGATTGTAGTAAGTCTTGTAATTTAAGAACACGTTTACCTAGAACTTCGTTATTAGTGTTATTAGTGCTGTCCATTCAATATAATAATTACACATGAGCAATACTATTAACTAGCATATTTAAGTAATTTATTTTATAGTTTTTATAAACTATTGACTCGACTTACAGTTTGTCATTGAAATTCAAATCAAAGATTTCTTCGCCGATTTTGGACAGACTATAGATGTCTATCCTGTGGTCATATTTTGCATAATAAGCCACTTCTGGCGCCTGATATCTAGTGTCGCCGACATCTCCCGTATGCTTATTATTAGTCATTGAATGGATATTCCGGTCGTGTACTGTCGCCAAACCAAAGTCACCCAGTTTAAAATACCGCCCATTTGTGACGTTTAGTGTCACTAATATATTGTCGGGTTTGAGGTCCCGGTGAATGACCGGTGGATCCAATTCATGCAAATACTGGACGCACTCTAAGAGCTCTTTGAATATATGACAAGAAATGTAAAACTCGATTGAATTCATGGGTTCTTCAGGTTTTCGGTGAAATACTTGTGGTTTGTGTTCAAGAATTTTCGTAAGACTATTGGAACACAACTCCATTATTATGTAATAATATTTTTCATGACCAATGGATGCGTTGATATATTGGACCACATATTTTGAGTCCAAATTCTTTAAGCAATCCGTTTCTGCTACAAATTGATTCAATCGTCGACAAATATTATTCCGGTTATCATCTATAAAGTTATAGATAATTAACATTTTTCGTAAATTCCTAGAAAAGTCAATTTCCCATAATTTATACATTACATCGTAATTTAACTTGTTTGACTGCATATTCTTGCCCATTGGTTATATCTCTAGCCTTATACACACAACCAAAAGCACCCTCACCAATTTTAGACAATATTTCTAAATTGTATTGATTAACGCTACTTGTCATGTCATTAATAGCTAAATAAATAATTTATTAATAAAAATAGTTTATAATAGATAGTCATTTTAAATATATCAATATTAGCATGTGATACCTCTGTCTGTCTTAATTAGACTAGTGTTTGGTTGATTTAAGTGATCCTGTTTAATTCTGTCAACCATTTTTCCCAAAAATTCATTACATTTTGTACGAAAGTCTTCACTTGTATTGCAATTATATTCCTTATAATCGCTTAAATGAATCGTTTTATGAGTCAATTGGTGTTCGTCTGTATAGTAATCAAAGAAATTATCGTAATTTCTTTCAATTAAAGTCTTTCCCGATATTTCATAAATCTTTCCATTCATTAAAGCGGTTATATATTCTGAATGCTGTTCTTTAAACCATTTTAAATTCTGACACAACTTTTGACATTTTTTGTCATCAATTAAACATGGTGATATTTCTATTAACGTATCTCCGCTTTCATTCGCATATTGTCCACAAAAATATATAAACCCATTGTTTGATAGGAAATATGTGTTCACTTCTGTCGCGCATATAGTCTTAATATCACTGATATTATCAACAAATTGTGGTTTCAATACATTTTTCCATGAATTTAAGTCTTGATTTTTCCCCCATTTAAACACATGTCCGTCACATGTGATGGCAAATGAACAGAATTTGTGACAAAAAAGTTTTTCTATTTTATAGTCAACCGAGTCGTGTATGAAATGTAACTTTTGCCGCTTGTATACAAGGCCTGATTGATTATCGCTGCCTACCTGTCCGTATCTATTATCACCCCAACCATAGACATTGCCATCGATTGTAAGGATTAAGAGGTGATACAAACCGCAACTGATTTGACGGATATTGTGGCGATTGAGTGCCAAATCGTTTTCCGGGTTCACGTACTCCACTGACAGAATATTCATTGCTTGACGACATTTAAGTAAATTAAATGAATTCTTGGAAATTATATGGTACCAGAAGTATATACAATCGCTATCATTGAAAGCGAGTCCATACTGATCCTTACAGAATAATTGATGTATATTCTGGTGACACAACTCTGGGATCAATTGGGGTTCGCTTACGTAGTTATTGTGTCCCAACCCGAGTGGTCCCCAATAATTAGATCCCAAACCGTATACTTTATCGTCATTTGTCACGAATAGGACATTATATCCTCTCTTGTCGTTAAATACATGAAATAATTTAACGGTTTTTATGATATTTTTATCGAATTTATGAGTATTTTTCTGTGAATCTTGTTTTAAATTCGGTAAACTACTGAATGTCTGTCCCGTTGTCCGCAACCTAGTGCTTCCACTTGCAAACCGTATGACATCCGATGCCTTACATACAGAGATGTAATTATTACGTGGACTCACGTATATCTCGGTATGTTTTATACGGCAGAGTCCCTAAAACACTGCTTTGATATGTCTGTACAATACTACTGATTAATATTGTGGACATATAAAAGCAGAGTTCTGTGGGCTCTTTCGTATAACTAATACATATTTAAATAAACAAAATCAAATTCAATGCTAATTATGGGTCGTTTGTAGTGAATAAAGTAATGAATACGAGTGTGTCTTACATAATGCAACCATCTCTGCCATCGCTTTCGGTTCATATTTATCCAAAAAATAAATTTTTTATAACAACTCTTTAATATATAAATAGTTAAATCAATTCATTACGAGTCACCCTACGTTTGCAATGAAAATATTCAACATATTTGTGATTAACCGCACCTAATATTTTGATGTATAGTATAGTGCTTTAACCGTTAGTTGTCTAGACATAATAAAAGGGTTTATTACGTATATTAAATCCATATTTAATTATTTTGTTTTCTACTATTGTTTAGATTTCAACATGCAATAATTTAGCCAGATTATCACTAGGTGATTTACGTGAAATTGCATATTTAGATATTATTTGCACGCGTTTATTTGATTCATATACTGTAATAGTTTGACATTACAATAACTATAATAAGTGATACAATCAACATTCATTGCTGAAATATAAATTTATATTTAATAATTATATATAATCTACTTAAGACAAAAAATTTTGTTCAATAAAAATTATTATCTAAGACTATGAAAATTGTAATGTACAGTATAGTATAGCCAATGTTTTAGTAATTAATTAAATTAGACTTATAGTACTCGAGATTTAAATATAATAGAACTAATTAAGTTCACCACAAAATCTACAAAATAAATATTATGTTTAATTAGCTAAACTTTATTTTAAACATTTAATCCAGGTCTGAATCATCAATGAGACCACATTTAGAGCGAAAATAGTTTATGAAAAACTGACATTCGTTTGATTCAATTGTATTTAAATGTTTCAAATCTTTTGCCAAATGTTTGCTATCAATAGCCCACTCGTGGTATGTCTTCAACACATCCTTACACTCGGGTCTGTCCTCCCAATTTGGGGACAAAGACATCAAAACCAATACTTCCCGTAATTTAATGACACATTTGTTTAACACTTTCTTATCTGATGAATACGATTGCGGACTATATATAAAACAAAATATATTTCATAAATACTGTATCATTTATTTATTAGTAATTTTGAAAAACTTACGACTCGTTATTCAAATTGAAATCAAATATTTTTTCACCGATTTTCGATAGACTATAGATGTCTATCTTGTGGTCATACCTACCATTTGTGACTTCCGGTGCCTGATATTCAGGAGCACCCATATCCCTACCGGTCATTGTATAGAAGTCCCGGTCGTGTACTGTCGACAAACCAAAGTCACACAATTTAAAATAGCGGCCGTCCTTCACATCCCTGGCCACCAAAATATTGTCGGGTTTAAGGTCCCTATGAATTATTGGTGGATCCAATTGATGCAAATATTGGACGCATTCTAAGATTTCTTTGAATATGTGACACGAAATGTAAAACTCGATTGAATTCATGGGTTCTCCCGGTTGTCGACCAAATACTTGTGGTTTAAGTCTAAGAATATTGTGTAGACTATCGGAACACAACTCCATTCTTATGTAATAGTGTTCACTGGTCACCCACGAGGCCATGCATTTGACCACATATTGTGAGTCAACTTTCAATAAATTATCAAATTCTGCGATCATTTGAGTTATTGTTTTGAATACTACTTTTGAATTCGACTCATCCTTTTGGACTAAAATCAATAATAATATGTTTATAATTAGATTTTTGAAACTGTGCTATAATACTATATACTATATATAGGAATTACAATTTAAGTCAATTAGTTTGATGGCGTATTCGTCTCCATTATTCTTATTCCTCGCTTTCCACACCTCACCAAATGATCCCTTTCCTATTGGTGACACCATATCATAATAATAGTCATTATCCTTCCAACTTCCACCGTTTAAATCTATTCATAAAGTTTTTAAAATTCATATAAATATTTAAAATTATGTATTACAGTATATTATACAATATGCTAAACCATACCATCAACTCTTTGCTTAATTCTATTAAAAAGTTTTCCAAAGAACTCAATCAATTTTGTTAGAAATTGTTCACTTGTATCGCAATTATATTCCTTATAATCGCTTAAATGAATCGTTTTATGAGTCAATTGGTGTTCGTCTGTATAGTAATCAAAGAAATTATCGTAATTTGTTTCAATCATTTGCGGCGCTTTCAATAATTCTTGTATTTTTCCATCAATCAGAGCCGTTATAATAGATTTATCGTTACTATCTATTCTGTAACTATATATTTGATACATGTCCTCACATTTGCGGTCCCTATTTAAAACTTTGGGTGTCTTTTGTTTTTTCTGATGTCCGTTTTCATTCACATATTGTCCGCAAAAATATATAAATCCATCGTTTGATAGGAAATATGTGGTCAATACTGTGGCGCATATTGTTTTAATATCACTGATATTCTCAACAAATTGTGGTTTCAATACATTTGCGGATAAATTGTTTCCCAATTTATAGCAATCATTTTTACCCCAACTAAACACATATCCATCAGATGTGATGGCATATGAGGACTCATTTCGACAAAAAATGCTTTTAATTTTGTACTCAAGAGAGTTATGAATAAATTGGAGTTTTTTGGGCTCTATTATAATGACCGAAGAGCCACCACAACCCAACTGTCCCTCACTGTTATTACCAAATCCATAGACATCGCCATCACTAGTGAGGGCCAGTACGTGGTAAGCGCTACAACTTATTTGACAGATTTTATCATAATTTTGAAACAAATCATTATTTTCTGTATTTATAAATCCTTTGAAATCCATTTCAAATAACTTAACGGGTTTGTCGCATTTAATAAGTGCCGATAAATGTGAGCCCAAGGGTTGACACCATACGAATATACAGTTCCTGTCATTTATAGCGAAAACAAATGGCTGTCCATAAATGAAACGTTGAATATTCTGGTGACATAACTCTTTGATGACTTGCGGTTCATTGACATAACCACTGTATCCCAAACCAAGAGATCCCCATTGATTAGATCCCAACCCGTAGACCATGTCATCATTTGTCACGAATAATACATTACATCCGTATTCATCATCAAAAACATGAAATATTTTAATTGATTTAAACATATCTTCTACACATTTATTCATATTTTATGGCTATTAATATTGTGTTGAATATATTATTTTTATAAC